ATGATCGGAGCTGGTGGGATAGACTGGCGACATCCAAACTGACGGAGGACCCTATCAGGTTCGTGGGCCTCACAGATGTCCTAGTAGAAGATGTACCCCTTGTACATCCAAACTTGTTGATATTCTGTACACTGATCCGGGAGAGTAGACGAATCCTCGAGGAACTGGTGATAGGGCACCCAATCGAATTGAAAACAAAAAAAACAAAAAAACATTGAATTAATAATTATTACGAATTAAGTTATAAAAAATTTAAAAACAATAAAAACCAATAGATAAATTAATATATAGAACATAAAATTCTTACATCCGCCTCTCTCAGCCATGTCAGCTGTTCCCGGATAGCGGCGTTCCCTTGATTTATATATATACAAAATAAAAAAAATGAATGAAAAAAAAACATATACTTACTTGTTTTGCCCTCTTCCACTTGCACGTAGACCGGTTGTCACCTCGCATATGGATCTGTCGTAGTCCGTACATTTCACATCGTGAGTTGCGGTTGTTTGCTCCAACTGCAAAAATACGACATAGTGCTCCCTAGTAATGGGACTCCTGCATCTGCTGCACTTGTTTTGTTATTGTCGAAACAAATCCAGAGTTTTGTGAAATGTGGCGTCTACCAAAGCTCTGCACGGCATGAACCTAACCCCTTTTAGGATGTTGTTGTAACTCTCCGACATATTCGTTGTCAAGGGTCCCCATTTATGTTTTTCATCTCGATACATGGTCCACTGGTTCAAAGGAATGTTGAAAAGGTAATTGTATGCGTCGGGATTAAATTCATGACTTCGCTCTTTTGTCTGTCGAAACTTTCGCTTCGACAACTGCGAACCCAAATCTCAACACCAATCCCGGATTTTCTTACTCCTGAACCTAGTCACCACATTGCTTCGAAGGCGTCGAAGGCAAATCCGGTGATACGCAACGGGTTCTTGCCATTCTGGTAATGATTCAATCGCACTGCGTAGGCCCACATCCCCGTCAGAAAGAACGCATATATGTCTATCGAATACAACATATCGCCGCAGATTCCTAAGGAAAAATGACCAACTGTCTGTGCTTTCTTCGTCGACAATCGCATACGCGATTGGCAATAGCTACTTATTCGTAGTTTGTGCTACGACCACGAGCAATTTTCCTTTGTAATGTCCACGTAAATGTGTGCCATCGACACTAATAACCGGCGGGCACATTTCGAAGGTTTGAATCGCGGGACCAAACGCCCAGAACACAAATTTGAATTCTTTGTCTGGAACTTGTCGCGCCATATCACCACCCTGAAATTCCCAATCTACAACTGTGTTGGGATTCACTCTTTGAAGCGCAGCAAAATATCTGTACAATACAAAACAATTAAATAAAAAAACATAGTGACAAACAAAAAACACGTATATCTATAATTAATTTTTGCTTACTGAGGGAGTTCTGCGAAGTTCGACTCCCAACTGCCGTACACACACTCGATTGCTTTTTTCCTGCCGTGCCATGCCTTCTTGTAACTGACGTCGACTTTCCAACACTGCGTCACATTAGCCTGGACCATGTTAACGTTGTACTCCACTTTCTTCTGAACCTTATTAATTATAAGATTCGAAATCATATGGGTGGTCACGTTTCTTTGGTCATTTCTGCCGACCTGTTGCATGCAAGTGTGTTGGTCAGTCCATTCAGTTACTTCCCACAAATCATCATGCCGTCTGGCCTTATTCACCCGAGCCTTCCACAGACAAGACACATCTGCATTCGATCTGCAGACCAGTTTGAATGACTTCTGATTTGAATCTTTTGTCCGAATCTTTCGCAACCTATCGACGTTATAAGCCATTAGACCCGTTTGGGCTTCTTCCTTGCTCTGGAAAACTGTACGCAAACGTATGGTCTCAATGTCGCTATTCCAGAGTGGAATAGCATACTCGTTCGCATCTATCCTAGACGGGTCCCATTCACCCATCTCGCGGTATATGTGCCGACCAACACTAGGAAATGGGTGTTCTTCTTCAATGAACTTGGCTTCACTCTCATCATTTATCGATATATCTGATTCGGTTTATGAGGTATCGTCTGTGAAATCACCTTCACCGGGAATGAAATCTTCATCAATTTCTTCCCCGTCCTCACTCACCGCCCATCATCTCGCTGTTGACCCTTCTCCAAAATTAGGTAGATAAGAAGTCGATGTACCCTCGACATGAAACACTCCCCCGTAACAAGGATTAATATCTTCATACTGTGTAACCGGTGTAATTGCCTGCAACGATAAATGCAAATACACTATGGACCTAGGAGGAAAGTAATAAATCCATTCAAAACTATCATTATTGAGAATTGTTGTATTCCACGAACCATCAGGTTGGCTAATCTTTAAAGCAATCTCCTGAATTGTTCAACCTTCTCCAAACTGAAATTTTTCATTTATCATCTGTACTAAATGATCGTATGATATCCTCCCCGAAATAATAGATGAACCACTCGGACGATCTTTAAATGAAACAAAATTGCTTAACATTTTCTTCCCAAAGTGCCAGTACAAATTAACAAGATATGAACCAGAATACGCCATTTATACCTGTTGGAAAAGACACTTTCATTCTTTCCGATTACAACAACACATAATGTCTAAAATCTAAAACTCAATTTTTTACTCCAACCAAAAAAAAAATAGTCCCAATCAAATAATATTTCAAAACCTAATACTCATAATCAAACAATAACATAAAATTCATCTATAATTCGGATAAATTGAAAGCCCTAATTTTAACTCTAATTTCGAACAACCCTAACCCCAACAACAATCAAATAATACACAATTGACAATTTACACACAAAATTCCAATCCTTAATTCAACATACACACATAATCGATAATCAATTAACAATTTTCAATCTTCAAACACAACCACATTCAAACATATTATAACAATCCTCAATTTCCAAACAACTCCAAATAATGTAAAAAGTTAAGATAAGCCAATATACCTCGTGCGAATGAATTAACCGGAAATGAGGCTCGTATCGGTGTTGTCGATTCACACCGAGGTAAAGATTTGATCGAGTTTTTTTTTTCTGATTATTTTCGCTTCTTGCTGCTCTCTTCTCTGCTCTCGGTATCTGATTCGCGTAAATGAAATGGAGAGAAAGATTTTTTATTTTTTTTATATTTCATATTAAAAACGTATTTTAAGAATACGTCTACCGACACTTTAATTGTAAAACGTATTCTCAGAATACGTTTTAATTAAATATTACTTTTTTTAAACGCTTAAATAAAACGTATTCCGGAAATTCGTTTTATTTAAAATGGATTTCGAAAATATGTTTTATAATATTTTATATTTACTATTTTTTTAATATTCGAATATCAATCGAATTTTGATTTTTTATTTAAGAAATAATATAAAAACGTATTCCCGGAATACGTTTTTTTGATTAATTTTTTTAAAAAAAAAACGTATTCCATAAATACGGCTGTTTGATTTTGGTCCATACTTTTTTTTTGTCTACTTAAATTTTGTTTTTTAAATAAATAACTCACCATCAAATTCTCTCGGTTGGGAGCGTTCTTATTCTCTCGGTTGGGAGCGCTCAATTCTTGCAGCCTTCTGATTAATCGCAGTGTTCATCTTTCCCAATATTATTCTAGTTGTTTTCTTTGTTCATTGTCTGTCCGATTGATCCTTTTTTTGTCCTTCTTCGACCGGTTAGGGTTTTCCTAATTTCAGATTCAGGCTATGGATAGGGTTTCTAGCCCTAATCCAGCAGATGATCTATCACAGAGGATGGATAAATTTTCCCTTTCTGATAGAGAAGCTTTGCTAGTTGACATTGCTCAGGAGGACATAAAATATAGCGCGGAGGAATGTGACCGCAGCCTCTTCGGTAAAGTCGTGGGCGATAGACCGGCCAGTTGGATTGGAATCAAGAGGTCGATGAGCCAAATTTGGAGACTCTCGCAACCAATGGACGTTAAAGAACTGGAGCCCAACTACTTTCAATTTATCTTCCAAAGCAAAGAAGATCTTCAGCGAGTTATAAGCGGCACTAACTGGAGTTTCGAAAATCAGTACTTGATTCTTAGTGAGTGGAGACATAAGCTTCATAGCAAACACCCCTGCTTCCAAGAACTCAACTTATGGGTGCAGGTAATGAACATTCCTTTAAATTGGCTCTGCACTGAGGTTGGTGTTAAAATTGGAAAGGTTTTTAAAGAAGTTCACAATGTGGTGGTGGCTAATTTTGGGAACCATGGTGGTAAATTTCTTCGTTTGCTGGTGTCTCTTGATCTCAATGAACCAATTCCTAGATGTACCAAGGTTAGGCTTGGGGACGATGTGGTTACAATTGGTTTCAGATATGAAAAGCTCAGGAACTTATGTCATTATTGCGGCTGTATTGGCCATCTGGACAAAGGGTGCTCTAAGAAAGTTAAGGATATTAAGGCTTGTACTGTCAAGGAGGGTCAATATGGAGACTGGTTGAAGGCCCCTGATGGCCCTTGGCTCTGGAACTGCTGGATGGATGTCCTTCCTTTGTTTACTAAATGGCTTAAAACTGAGATTAGAGATGGTAGTTCTACCAGAATTGCTGACTGTAACTGGGTCCCCAATCTTTCTAAAGATAAACCTGTGCTGCTGGAAATTGCTAAGGATCATCTCATTTTTGTGAAGGATTTGATGTTACCTTCTGGTCTGGGTTGGAATGAATGGCTAATTCATCAGGTTTTTAATGAAGAAGATAGTGCTGCTATTTTAAAGATTAAGAGTTTGAGGCCTGGCAGACCTGACAGAATTTACTGGGGCCTTGATCCTAAGGGCCAGTTCTCAGTTGCTTCTACTTACTCCTTCTTGGTGAAACAGAAAATTCTTCAACTGGATCTTCCAGAAAGTAGCAACAGGGTGAATTCTTGGAAATTGACACTCAAAAGATCTTGGTCAATGAAGGTGCAGATGACGATCAGAATTTTCTTGTGGAAATGCCTCACAGGCTCTCTGCCTGTTCTGACAAATCTTAAGAAGAAAGGTTTGAACATTGATGTAATTAGCAGGTGTTGTGGTGAGAGTCCTGAAACTATTGAACATTTGCTTTTGAAATGCTCCAGAGCCAGCAGAACTTGGGACTTAGCACCAGTTTCATGGCAGGGTCTCTCTCAGTACACTGATTCTTTCAGAACTTGGTGGCAATTTGTTTGCTCTGCATCTCATTCCACAATTGATGAGCATAGAATCCAGCTGTCTACCTATTTGTTATGGTGGCTCTGGAAAACCAGAAACCAGTGGATCTTCCAAGGATCTCTTCCTCCACCCCGGGTTGTGGTTAAGGCAGCTCACTCGGATTGGCTGGAGTTCTCATCTATTCACTAAATGTCCTTTTCTTTAGTTCTTTTAGTCTCCTTTGTTTTGGTGTTTTGTTTTAGTTTTTAGTAAGAGCAGATTATTTTCTAGGCTTTGTGGCAGTGGGGTGATTTGCTCTTTTCTTTTTCTTTGTTCATTTAGCTGTTTTCGTTGAGGCTCTAGGGCATCTTTGTTGATGTTCCTCCCATGTTGTTTTCTTTTGGACTGTGCTGTATTCGAGCTTTGCTCGCTTTTCGTTAATAGTTATTTCTATCGTTTTGAAAAAAAAAATAAATAAATAACTCACCCATGTTCAATCACACAAATTTTAGGTGAGTAGTATCCTAATATTAATTATCAGTTAAAAATAAAATTCAATAGTTAATTGTTGTAGAAATTATTACTTGCACTGGATTTTCATTATTTATTGATTTTCTCTTTCTTATGTACATTGGTTGTGATTTATGTCCTATAATGTAGTATTGTTCATTGCAAACTAATGATCTTTGAAAGCGGCACATGCTGAAAATTGAATATCTCTTCCTATATATTAATTCAAAACGTGTTAAGCCTAGGTGGCAGATTCCCACGCTTCGGATACTGACATAGCGAAAATCTATGCTTCTTGATGTTGTTTTTATATTATTTTTGCTCTGTAGTTAGGTTTAGTATTAGACATAAATAACTTTATACATATATTCATTAACTCAACACGCATGTCGTACATGGGTATTAGTATTATAAAAAGTATTATCAAAAGGCATCATTAGGGAGAACGTAGAAAAAAAAAATTATTTTATTAAAATAGAAACTAAATTGATCACTTGAATTGGTTTACTTGTATGACATGGTGTATGTATGTGAGTGAGTGTTTTATGTTATATACCATCACCCAAGAAAAAAACTAATCCAAAACATATGTTCAAAAATTCGAGAAAATCCAATTTTTGGTAACAGAAACTAACACACTCGATTGATAGGTTTGAACTGTTTGAGAAAACGCAAGTTAGACTATCTTTTTTTTTGTTCATTTTATAGTTGGAGTGATGATTTTTTTTTTTTTTTAATGTTCTTAGAGCATCTTTTTATTTGTTTGATTACAACTTATATTTCTTTTGATATGAATTATATTTTCATGTGAAAATAGTTAATATATCCCATGGGATTAATTGGGGGTTAATATAATGTTCTTAGAGCAACTTATGTTTACTTGTGGTTTCATCCCATGTTCCACACCCACAATTCAAGGAACTGTCAGGAATCGGACTTTAGTTAGTGAGATATAACCCCAATTAATCCCATGGAAACCATCCAATAACTGTCATGAAATCAACACCAAGGCTATCCAAGGAGTCCCTTTCTTTTCCTTATTATTGTAACCGAGAGTTAGCCCCAAGAGAAGTACACATTCTTTCTCCTCTTCTCAAGCAAAAGTCCTCTAGCATTCCAGTCCAAAGAGTTCCACATTCTTTCCCCACTTTTTCCCGGTGAAAGTCAAAAGTCCTCTAGCATTCCTCCAATATTCTCTCTTTTTATGCCATGACAATTGGTCTAAAAATTCAGTAGAATAACCAAAAATATTAATGTTTGAGATTTTATAGAAATTAAAGAAAAGAGATGAGAAAAACCGAGTGTTTAATGCCTTGAGATTGGTTTTTGTTGCCTTGGAGAACCTTTGAGATTTTGTTGAATTTTTGTTTGGAATCTATGGGAGAAGCTAAGTATTTCAAACCTTTTTTTGATCCCTTTAATCCCATAAGAACCCTTGCTGGAGAATCCTGAAACCAGTCGGCGAATTCGCCAGAAAAAGCGCAGCCAAGCCCAACCCAGCTGCAGTCCCGCAGACCTGCGTATAGACCTGTGCGTGCTCAGTTGGTCGGTTGGTCGGTTTTATCTCGGTCGGAGGTGGGTCGATTCGAGGAATGGTTTGGGGCTCGATTTCGACTACTGTATAGGTGGTTGCGCAGTTTCGGTAGTAGTCTCTTGGGCAGGGATCTTTCTTGTGTCGATCGGTCACTGCTGGTTGGGCCTGTTCGTTTGTTGGGGAAGGACTGTTCTTTATTTTATTTTATGTGTTATTTTGTTATGTGTTAGTTCGTATATGTGTCTGTGCTGTATTTGTGTTTTAGGTTTGGGCCGTTGGCCTCTGTGAGCCCGAGTGTCACCTTTATATTTTGTTGGGGTCCGATACTCGGGTATTATGTTTATTGTATTTTTGTGCTTATTTTCGTGTATTTTGTGTGTTTTATTTTATTATTTTTAGGCTCGTTTTAGTGTCGACCGGTCCATATGATCGTGTTTTGTGTATTTTTTTTTAGTATTTTCGTATTTTTGTGCGTTTTCTCTTTTGTTTTGGTGTTGAGTAGGTCCAACTTGTCGAGACGAGGAGATGAGCCGTCCGAGCCAACCGAGCCGTCCAACCTGGAAAATCCGACCAAGCCATACCGGGACGAAGAGAATTAAATGAGGAGAATTTTGGTCCAAGTTTCTTGCGAATTGGAGTTGTGTGCGAAAAGTTAGAGCCATTCGAGCATCAAGAGGTCACCGGGACCATTCCTACGCACTTGCTTGCGCCCGGAGCACGCCCACAGCATGCCCGCACCGCGCCCGCACGCCGTAGCACTTCCGGAGCTCGTGGAAACTCCCGCGACCTCGAGCGTGCCCTCTAATCATGCATGCGAGCTCGTGGATATTTCCGCGACGTC